GGGGAGCGGTGGAGGGCTGGCTGCCAGTGGCTTGCTGGCTCATGTTTTGGGGCACCTGGGTCAGGGGCAATGACTTCTGGCTCTGGGCTCGCAGGCTTGGAACTGACACAGGCACTGTGGCCAGAATCTACTCCTTTAAGGGCTCTGAGGAGGGGGGAAGGAGGGGAAAAGGAGAGGAATGATCTTGGTTGAGGCTGGAGTGGCCACCAGGGCACCCTGGGAAGGCTGGAAGCCCCCTATTTCAATATAAGTGTTTACACAGCACTCATTTCGAAATATATATTTCGAATTCGTCCTTATTCCTCATGGAATGAGGTTTACCAAATTCAAAATAAGTGCTCTGCTATTTCGAATTAATTGCCAAATAGCGGTTTGGCTGTGTAGATACTAGTACAGTTATTTCGAAATAACAGCTGTTATTTTGAAATAACTTTTCTGTGTAGACATACCCTGAGATACAATAGATCTCAAACTCCACATACTGTTCTTTACAGTCACTTTTAGGAGAGAACTAGATTTTAATGATAACTGAAAATCCAGATGAAAGAGTTATCCAAACCCAGCACACAAGAGCAGAAGTACCATTTTTGTTCAAACTTTCTTAAAAAAAAACACTACCCTGTGCTTGCTTTAATGTATTCCCTAAGGCTACGTCTAGACTGGCCACAAATTTCGGAAAAGGGATGCAAATCAGGTAAGTCAGCATAGGGAAATCCGCGGGGGCTTTAAATATCCCCCGCGGATTTAAATAAACATGTCCGCCGCTTTTTTTCCGGCTTGGGGAAAAGCCGGAAAAAAAGCGTCTAGACTGGCGCGATCCTCCAGAATAAAGCCCTTTTCCGGAGGATCTCTTATTCCTACCTGAAGGTAGGAGGATTGCGCCAGTCTAGGGGGAAAAAGCCGGAAAAAAAGCGTCTAGACTGGCGCGATCCTCCAGAATAAAGCCCTTTTCCGGAGGATCTCTTATTCCTACCTGAAGGTAGGAGGATTGCGCCAGTCTAGACGCTTTTTTTCTGGCTTTTCCCCAAGCCGGAAAAAAAGCGGCGGATATGTTTATTTAAATCCGCGGGGGATATTTAAATCCCCCGCGGATTTCCCTATGCTGACTTACCTGATTTGCATCCCTTTTCCGGAATTTGTGGCCAGTCTAGACGTAGCCTAATAGTGTTAGATTTAACACACATATTCCTTATCACTGTATGATATGAGACTGGTCATCCTCCACACATATCGGGTAGCAAACCCAATTAAAACATGAAACATAAAAATAAACCAAATTTCAAAAGGCCTGAATGATTTAAAATATAAAATAAGCTTAATCCCTTGGGACCTTAGTTGCCATCTAACCTCTAGGCCCATGCAATGGAAATGAGTTGATAGTTACGGCAGAGTTCCACAGCTGTCAATGTCACAAAAGAATCAGATGTAATTTGGAAAAATTGACAGCCTTACATCAGGAGGCATGTAAGACAGAGCTTATTGTATAACATGAGTCATCTCTTATTCCTACAAAAAAAAACCAAAATATAAAACTGTTTCTGGGTCAGCCTATAAAATAGTGACGCAGGTAGCAAGTAGAAGTCTGTTCTCTGATTACCTGGTGTCCCTCAGCTTTGAAATCAAGAAACCAATGGCTATATTCAGTCGTTATTAGTACGCTAAACCTTTAGAAGCATAAATACTGCTTCCTTGTCTCCACTCTGACTGGTTGCTTATTGCATAAGGGAGTATTTGAAAATACCCAGCCTTCAAATATTATCTGGCATTTACCTTTGGCAGTTAACTTTTTAATTAAAAGGTAAAAGGCATATTAATTATCAGTTAAGAATATTCAATCTCTGTTCAGGAAGGGAATTATTGTTTAAAAATTTGTCTGGCAGTTATTCTTTTATGTTTGGGAAGAGGTGAAATTAAAAATTTACCTCTTTCCTATTTCATGTTACTAGCACTGCGAAAGTTAAGGTTAAAGACAAAGTCTTCATGCTCAGTATTTGGTTCTTTCCACTTTGGGTTTAAAACACAAAAATAAAAGCAACAAGTTTTTCACCAAGTTGTAGAAATGAAGGGTTTCTCTTCAGCCTCATCTGAGAACCTGCATAGTTTCACTGCTCATGAAAGTGTGTTTTCGAATAAGTTGGCATTAGTAACAAGATCATTGTGATTGTCTCTTTCACTACCACATGCACCCTGTGCAAAGCATGATCACAAGGAGCGTCTCTGCAGTCAGTCTGCCAGTGTTCATTTCTCCATACAAGGAGGGATCAGAAGCCTTTTCCTCCCCATTCCTGACAAGCTGATCTGGCCAGAAACATGGGGAAGGGTTTCTGCAGTATTATGCTAGCACAGTAATTGCATTCCCCCTGGCCTGCCTAGTGTCCTTAATGTGGTGGCTCTAGCTTTTATCATTTTTCCTGCCGGTCTCAATAAAGGAGAAGAAAGGAGTATTAGTCTGGTTACTGGTCTGCAACGTCTTATTTCTCAAACGGGCAGTAGCTTCAGAAAAACTGCTGCTGCCCATGCTGAGCAACTTTGTTTGGTTTATGGCTGTTCATGGGACAAAAATAGAAAGGCAAGGCATAAGAACAAGAATTTGGGGCTCTCTCTCTGATGGCTACTGACTAAGAATCCTCATAAAATATAGGTTTTAATTATAGGAACTTTCATTTCCAGAAAATAAGAATGGTCATACTGAGTCAGACCAAAGGCCCATCTATATCAGTATCCTGTCTTTCAACAATGGCCAATACCCTGTGTCCCAGAAGAAATGAGCAGAACAGATAATTTTCAAATGATCCATCCCCAGTCTCCCACTCCCAGCTTCTGGGAAAACTGTGGCTAGGGACACCATCCCTACATATCTTGGCTAATAGCCGTTGATGAATTTACCCTCCTTGAACTTATTTATAGTCTTGGCTTTCACAACATTCTCTGGCAAAGATTGCCAGAGGCTAACTGTGCATTGTGTGTGAAGAAATACTTCCTTTTGTTGGTTTTAAACCTGCTGCCTATGAATTTCAATTGGTGACTCCCTAGTCTTTGTGTTTTGAGAAGGAGAAATAACACTTCCTAATTCACTTTCTCCACACCAGTCATGACTGTACCCTCTCCTGACTCTCTAATCTGCCTTTCCCCACCATTCCTCACCGTGAAGAGAGATGTTACATTAAAATATGGGAGTGGCCATACTAATGAAATGATGTAACACTAGCCTTCCTATGCCCACAGAGGGCCTCAGAGTATGCCCACCATCAAATAGCTAATTTTGGAATCCTGAGCAGACCCAGACCAATTCATCTCAAATCGATTGGTACAGATTATAACAGAGCTTGCCCCTTAACTGGATGGGCTGCTACATTCCACGCCCCAATGACATAAAAAGCTAAGCACTGGTTCTTAGAGCTCACTCCATTAACCTCATTTAAATCCATTCATCTGAAGAAAAGGATTGTGCTCACAAAAGCTCATGATACCATCTACATTTTTTGTTAGTCTCTAAGGGTACGTCTACACTAGCCCCCTAGATCTATCTAGGGAGGCTAATGAGGGTGACCGAAATTGCAAATCAAGCCCAGGATTTAAATATCCCACGCTTGATTTTCATGTTCCCAGCCGGTCGCCGTTTTAGAAATTGACTAGTCTGAAGTAACTGCCCCTGTCTACACACAGTCGTGAAATGGGATTCCGGAATAAAGCCCAAATCGAATTAGGTGGTATTCCTTGTGAAATGAGGTTCTCCTATGAGGCATAGTTTCTTTTTGCACAAGAGTTCTTGAGCAAAAAGGCATGTGTGGATGTTCCGCAGGGGTTTCTTGTGCAAAAAGAGCCTATCACAGAAAGCTCAGGTGCTCTGATGGCCATTCTGTGAATGGCATTCAGAACTTTCTTGTGCAAGAGTGCCCGTGCAGTGTGGATGCTCTCTTGCACAAAAGCACATCGCATTTGCAATGCACTTTTGAGGTGTGGATGTGCTTTTGCTCAAGAAGTTTTTGTGGAAGATCTCTTCCACAAAAAGCTTCTTGCGCAAAAACCCTGCAGTGTAGACAAAGCATAAGGTGCTACAGGACTATTTACTGTTTTTTAAGTATCCTCCCTTGATAAGCTATACAGGCTCTAGAGAGGCTAAAATAAAAAAGCATGTCAGTTTCCAGGGTTTCCAATCCCAAGCATTTATATCCTAAGTCATGCCTCAGAAAGTTTAAAATAATAATAATAATAATAAATAATTAATAATACGTCATGTTCTTTTTATTTTCTTTCTAGTGTCCATGCTTTTATGGTACACAAAGGTCATGTCTTCAAGCATTTCTCCACAACCAGGTGGGTTAGAAAATTCTTGGATTGTCCTTTCTTTTCCTGTAATGAGCAGATTCAACACCAGGTACAGGGGGTTGCATAGGAAAATACATACAACCATTTACTTAAAGACTGTTACAATACATACAACACATAAGGGGAGAGGAGGAAGTAAGGTTACCGAAGCATAATTTGGGGATTTCCTAACTTCTGAGAGCTTGACGTTGCAACCTTAACATTCTCTTAATGTAGCTTTTTTTAATGTAATTATTACTTATACAGAACCAAATACACTAGGCACTTCCCAGAACAAATAGGAAGTATTTCTTCACACAACGCACAGTCAATCTCTGGTACTCTTTGCCAAATGATGTTGTGAAGGCCAAGACTATAACAGGTTTTTTAAAAAAACCTACAAAAGTTCAAGGAGGGTAAGTTCATCAATGGCTTTTAGCTAAGATGGGTAGGGATGGCGTCCCTAGCCACAGTATTCTCAGAAGCTGAGAGTGGGAGACTGGGGATGGATCATTTGAAAATTATCTGTTCTGCTCGTATCTTCTGGGACACGGTTTTGGCCACTGTTGAAAGACAGGATACTGGCGTAGATGGACCTTTGGTCTGACTCAGTATGGCCATTCTTATTTTCTTAGTCTCCCACTGATGGTAGTGGGAGCAGAGAAATGCCAGATGCGGTGGCCTCTGAAGGTCCCATTCCATACATCCAAATTCATTGGCTATGTAATTTGACCATAAAGTTCTATGTGATATGAGCCACAGTGATCTGCTTGAACCAAAAACACAACATACATAGAAATAATCATAAAAAGTCAGATAAATTAAGTTAGGAGCAGAGTGGAAATTCGCTTTTAAAGCAAACATTGCTGGTTAATGGAATATGGATCATGGTTGGCTAACAAATAGTTTGTCTCATTAACCATGGTTTTTATGAGTTTTTCTTTTTAAGTAGTAAGTGAGCTCATCTATTATAAATAACTAGGAAGAGTTCCTGAAGGTCAGAGGAATTTAATCCTACCATCTCTTAAATATTTAGTTTACCATCTCTTTGTATTTAAAGTTTCAGAAGCTAAAACTTTAATGGTGTTATGAAATTGTACACAGATGATTTCACCTGATATTCAAAAGGAGAGTTGGATAACATACATTTGATTCATGTAAGGCCAGTAACTTGCTAACTGCTCTTTTAGAACACATCACTATGAATAAAATAGGAATTGCTAATGAACATTAATTTATCCCTTTTGTGCTGTGTTTTGCAAGTGTATTGTTATGTAGCCCCAAGAAATGGCTGCAGAGTGGAGCCTTGACTTCTGATTAGACCACAAAAGGTATCTCAATGCAGTCTTTCATGTTAGATGACAGGGAGCACCACACAAATGGTTCTTGTCTAGAGATGAGGTATATTGTATTTCTATCAGTATTTCCAGATCTGTGAGTTTATGATAGTGTTGCCATATAACATGCAATTAGGGGTGTGACCACAGCTTTAGATAGACTTGAGGTGTGTGTCTCCCTTTCCTCTATCCTTCATCTGTTTGTGTTGCTAAATTGCAAGCCCTTCTGGACAGAGATTTTCTCCTTGTTGTGTTAGATTTAATTATACTCTCAGTTTAGACATTTGCCTTCAGTTTGACCTTGATTTGATAACAAATTGAAATTCACTATAAAACATCAAAGTACTTTTACTAATATATATGCCTTTGATATGACCATGATCAAATAAGGAAAGCTAATTCTGAGCAGAGAAACCAAGTGCAGAACATGGGAAAAAGTAATTTCTACCCTACAATATATATTGATTTGTTGATGAGATTGTTAAAATAATGGCCAGAATAACATCTCTGCTAGTCTGGAGCACATCTGGAGTAACTCTGTTGGGCAAAGTGGCCTTAGTGGAGTAACTATGGATTTAGAGCAGCAAAACAAAGATGAGAATTTGCCCCAAAACTGAAGATGTCATTTTATTCTCTGAAGTCATGTGCATTTACCTCCCTTTAAAACTGTGGCACTATTTTTGTGCATTTCCAAAAGCTTTGTCGGGATGTTTTTCTTATTTTTGATTAATATTACAGAAATTGAGGTGCAATATATAAATAATTGGAATACCATGTCCCCTTGATAAATCTATTCTATTATATATGCTACTAATTTTTTAAAAATACATGACTGATTGGAGTACAAAGTAATCATTGTGTCCTGTTGAGTGTTTTTATTATAAATTACCTTGTCAGTAATGCACACTCAGAAGCTTACCTGACTGTTGGAAAAAGTCATTCTCCTAGCACTGAAATGCCAATTCTAACCCTGGGGAAGAAGTCATCAGCTGAAGTAATGGAACTGAAAGAATGATAATAGATTTATTACTTAAATTGTTGATTATGCCAATTGACCTTTCAGTCAGATCTTTAAAGCATCATAAAGTTCACTTGCTTCTTGACAGGAAAAAAATCATATCCCAGTGCTACTAATTATATTTATTTGAAAACTGTGTTTGCGAAGCAGAAAACAGAGCTAGAGGAACAAGCTGAGTTCAATGAACTATTACCTCTGAGCTCTGCAACTTCAGATGACTCTCTGCTCGCGACTGCAGCTAATGCTATCATGCATGCCTAGAAGGAGAAAATATTATAACCGCACTTTAGAGCCTTTCATAGAAATTGCTGTCATTATAGCCACGTTAGCCATTGCTTTGAATTATCACAGGCAGTGACCCACCAACGTATGAGAAGAGTGCTGCAGAGCAAGAGAACTATAAAGAGGATGGAAGTTTAAATGTATTACCTTTCAGAGAGAGCTATTCTAGCTACATTATAATAACTGTTCCTTGTGTAAAACAAGAGTGGAGAAATATGTCTGATGTCTGTTAAGCAATTCTTATCCAGTTGTAAAATTAACAAATACAAGCAGGTGCACATCTCAGTAATGCAACATTGGTAATTGTAGCTCCTGGGATCTTCTTACGGTTTCTGTTCTAGAGCACCCTAATGACCTCAGAATGCATCTGTCGTTCATTCTATCTTCTTCCACCCCACAGAAAGGGATTTTAACTGATGAATTTAAGGAGTCTAAGATTTATTAATAATGAAGTTGCTGATTGGAGCGGTATAAGGGGGTAGGGGAAAAACTCAGTTTGGTGGACAAACTATCAATATCCATTAGAAGTTCTTCATTAATTATTCCTGATGGAGTTCATTGTGATAAATGAACAGCCTCGGCAATGCAGGGCAAAACTTGTAAGCAGGCTGGTCAATGAGGGCCAAGTGATATAGATTTCGTTACTTATGCTTATTATTTTGGTAGCCCCACATTGCTGTGTGCAGCACTTTTCAGCCCAGTAGGAAGAAGTGATGTCTGCTGTGAGGTCCTACACTCTGACAGATAACATAATGAGAAGTGACAACAGACCAAGGGTAGAGGGAAGGATGAGAAGTATTTGTGAACTAGGGATAAAGGATCACTGCTCTAGAAAGGGGCATTATTTACAAGGGCCCACCTGTTTATGGGTGCATAGTTTAGAGAAAGGCTCCAGGAGCCTGCTCAGTAGATGGGCATAACTGCAGTCTTTATTCTTCCTAGAGCACAGAGACGGTTTCCTGCAAGCATCTCTAGAATGCACATTATAGTAAGATGGAAACTAGTGGGGTCAAAGTCCTACCTCTTCTGCATTGACCCAAAGAGCTGGTGCGGCACAGCAGAGATGGCTTGCTGCAATCCAGAAGGACATAGCAAGAGGCTCATGCTACCACTGTGCTCTGGAAAGCTCCAGAAGGAGGCAGAATTGCACTCAGGTCATGCCACTCCACACCACATCAGTTTGAGCTATGCTTAAATAGAAGGAAAAGAACTAAATTGAATTGATTTCCATATCCTGATAGGAGCTCTTTGTAGATATATGCAGCCATGAGGGAAATTTAAATAGATGTATGTGGATAATTAATTTATGGCAGGAGTGGGGATTTGGCCCCGGCTTGCCTGGATGTGACCCCCAATGCCCTGCGGTGGGACTGGAACACACAAAACCTACTAGTATGGACCCCACTATGTCCTGGTGTGTGAGGGGAATGTGTTTTATTCCTGCCCAGTGAGAGTTTGTCTTTTTTGTATTGCTTGGGTGTGGCTGACTTTTCTATGGGTCAGTGGCCTCTGAATCAAAAAAGGTTCCCCAGCCCCCATTTATGGGATTTCCAAAAAGCAAGTTTTATACCTGTTATAAAAAATGACCATTCAACTATCTTCTCTGGGGGCTTGAAAAATCTATGTACCCATTCACAAGTCATTGTTTTATGAAGCAAATACCAGTTGAATGAGTAACTAAGGGTATGTCTACACTACCACCCCAGTTCGAACTAGGGTGGTTAATGTAATCAATAGAAGTTGCAAATGAAGCCCGGGATTTAAATATCCCGGGCTTCATTTGCATCTTGCCGGGCGCTGCCATTTTTAAATCCCTGGTAGTTCGGACTCCGTGCCCGCGGCTACACGCGGCACGGAGTAGGTAGTTCGAATTAGGCTTTCACGAGGTGTAACAGTAGTTCGAATTAGAAAGCCTAATTCGAACTACCTACTCCGTGCCGCGTGTAGCCGCGGGCACGGAGTCCGAACTACCAGGGATTTAAAAATGGCAGCGCCCGGCAAGATGCAAATGAAGCCCGGGATATTTAAATCCCGGGCTTCATTTGCAACTTCTATTGATTACATTAACCACCCTAGTTCGAACTGGGGTGGTAGTGTAGACATACCCTTAGTTACTCAGAAAGAGGTGGATCCAAAGTTCATTGGAGTAAATTGAAAGAATTCCAAAGATGTCCATGAGCTTTGACTCAAGCCCCCCCAATCTGGGTTCCTGTTCATGACACAAAAATCATTCCATGAAATCTCCCCAACCCCTGCTGAATCTACCATGTCTGAATTAAACACAATGACATTTTGTATTTCAGTTACCTCTTTCCTCCTGCACCCGATCCCTTTCACAACCTCCACTTCCCACTGTATTGTTGTCATGATGTGTAATAAACATAAATAATCTTTATACTTTTGAAAGAAATGAAAAATGACAATCTTGGATGCAGTCTATTTTGGCCCAGTCTTGCAATAGCTCTAAATTTTACCAATTTGTAGCTATTTAAATTATTTTTCAGTATAAATAGTTCTACCGAGAGTGGTAGATTTTCAAAGGTACAAATGGCTATTATGTATGTGCCTTTGAAAATCTCCCTGATGTGACTGAGACCAAGTGTACACTGCCAGTTATTGTGCAGTAAATCAGCCCCCAGCACTGTCACATTTGAGGTGTCCACACTAATAAGGCACATAGTGTGCATTAGCTCTGCAGTTACTGTGCTATAGGGAAAGCACCTTGACGAGCAGTGTAGAACTTGCTGCACTCTAGACAGAGCCGTGAGGTGCCATTGTGGACACTCTGGTGTAGTACTGTATGTTGACTGGCCTCAGGCAACCTTCCCATAATGCCTGTTCTTGCCCCTCTGCTCATCTGTTTGAACTCTACTGCCCTGCTCTCAGGTGCCCAACCCTCAGACCCTCCCTTTGCGTTCTTTTTAAAATTTGAAAGTCCCCTTCCTGTTTGCTCAGTGACATGTATGTTTTCTCTCCAGATGGCCATGCCTTCTCCACGCACTATGACATCTGCCACTTGGAGTCATGCCAAGGAGATAGACCTTATCTGAGTTTGGGATGAGGAGGTTGTCCAGTCTCAACTGCGCTCCTGCTGCAAGAATTATCATATCTATGGGGAGATCTCAAGATGTATGATCAAAAGGGGCCATGACTGGTACGCATTGCAGTGTAGGGTCAAAGTGAAGGAGCTGTGAAACACCTAATGCAAGCCACAAGAAGCAAACCACTACTCTGGTGCTGCACTTATGACCTGCAGGGTGATATACTTGTGGGTGATCCCACCTCCATTCCAAAGACCCCCTGTAGATACTTTGGGGGCTCAGGGACCAGCAACAGTGGACCAAGCCAGGAGGAAGAAATTGTGGAGGAATGTGCTGAGGGAAAGGGGAACCCAGAACTAGAGAACAACTCAGCATCCACAAATGCTTGTAGTCAGGAGCTGTTTTGTACCCCCATCGAGGCGAGCCAGTCGCAGTAGTTGGAAGCTGCAGAGGATGAACCTGGTAAGCGGGTGTGATTCCTGGAAGCAATCAAGCAAGTTGCCAGGAATGGGAAGGTTACAGAAAGGAGGCTCAGTTCTGTGTATTGCTGCTACCATCACAGCGCTGCTCAGATGCTGAACAGGGCATTGATGCAATCTCATAATTCACAATAATCTGCCTCACAGATCTCATCAAAAATGTCATGCAGCTGCTGAGCCAGGCATCTGTGTAAATTTGATTGCAATGCTACTGTGCTGCCTGACCCGAGGGCTGCCTTTCCCTCATCTCTGTGCTGTTTGGGGCGGAGAAACCATCACTGCGCAAAGACAAGCCGCATATGGGTCCAGATGTAACCCATGGTCAAGTAAAAGACTTTCCTTTACTTCCCTGCACACCCTAAGCCGTGAGGTGTCTTCCAGGATGAATGCACCCTGTGGAAATAAATGGCCATTACTCCCTCCCCTCCTCCTCCACAGAACTCTTCCCAAGGCACACCTAGCCAGAGTACAGTGCAGCCATGTGCAAATGAAAATCCCTGTGCCCCCACACCAAGGAATTCTCCTGCCCCCAGTGATGAACTTACCATTGTGGGGTTCCTGTATCTTGCTCCCAGACAGTCAGCCAGTGCTAGGTTTGTGAACAATGCTTATGTTTAGAAGGGGTCAGCATAGTGCTGTGTCTAGTTAACAACGTACCCTCTCTACTGTGTTGCATTTTTGCCTTGACGGAGCTGACCTTGGCATGCTTGTCTGAAATGATATCACCTGTGGAGAGGCTCATAAAGTCAAGAAAATGCTAGCAAATGAAAAGGGAGGGGGGAGGAAATGGAGGAAGCTGAGAGCTGGCTGCTAGAAAGAGTTGGAGCTATGAATAGGAAACGTGTGCACAGAGAGTAGGTGGCTTTGGCCCAGATCTCATCCACAGAAGCCTTCCCCAGACTGGATTAGGGGTGCTAGTGGCCTCGGGTCACTGCCCCCAAAGAAGGAATTGCAGGGACTGAGTGGACAATGCACCTTTGTGTGAAGCTTAGCAAGAGAGGCATATGGACCCCACCAGAAGAGGTTAATATGATAAGTAAGGGAGGGAAGGCTCTAGTAGAGGTCCTGGGCATCATTAGGTATAGTACCAGGCATGTGGGAGGATTTGACTCTATTTCCACTGCCATGGAAGCAGAAATGGGCTTTTCCTTTCCAGATGTATCTAATACTCACTAAGGGAATCTAGCACCTGCCTTCCAGATTTGAACGGACGTGCTCATGTTTAATTTGGACTACTGTTACATCATTTCTCCAAAATCACACACTGTAATCTGTTGTAGAAACAGCAGGATAAAATTGAGCAACAAATGCTGGCATCTTCCCAGTGCAAAGCAGGGCCTGGAGTTGCTATTTACAACCACCATTGCCAGGGGGTTGTTTTGTTTTCTTCTTTTAAAAAGCAGAGAGCAACATTGCATTGTTGAGCTCCCCACAGAAACAAAGAGTGGAACAAAAGAACACAAGGCACCTCAACTGTTCCTCATTATGAGGGAGTGAGCTCAGCACACCGTCCCATGAACGTGGCTTTCCTTATCCAAAAGTTCTGCAGCCATTGCTCGTCATCCCAGGCTTGCATGACAGTGGGATCCCACCACTCAGTGTTTGTATCCCATGCCCAATGGTCAGTATCCCCTGAATGCCACAAGAAATCTCGTGCCATGCGTACCCTGCATGGACTTCTCATCGTCACTTGGCAGCTTCAGGAATAATTCAACTGCCATTTGTGACATGTTAGTGAGACCTAATAGCATTTTCGTCAGCAACTGGGGATCCATTCCCACACACTGAGGAGGCAGAAGATGCAACACAGAAGCTGCTGAAAGATGGTACCAACTGCAAACAGAAGCGTGGGAATTGCTGGGATGTGAAGTGATGCACCACAAACCTCTGTGGCAGGAGAGGAAGAGAAGCTCTGTGGGATAGCTGCCCACAATGCACCACTCTCAAAGGCACTGCAAATGCCACAAGTGTAGCCACACTAATGTGCTGGTGGCTAACCATGTGGACACCCAATAGCATTCTTGCTGCTCTGCTCTGTAAGCAGCACCGTAACGGCCAGCGCTTTATATCTCCCAGTGTAGATGTGGCCTAGAGCTATACCAGCCTTTTGAGCTATATCCTGCTTCTCTTCCTCATTCTAAATTTCTCCTGAAATCAGCAAAGGTTTGTGTGAATAAAAGGAGCAAGATCTGGTCCTCTGCCATGTCCTGAAATGAGTATGAGATTATAAATTCTTCTCACATTGAGCTTACATAATGAAACATGGAGTGTCATATGCTTCTAAAGCTTCTAAGGAGAAATGTATTCAGTGAACTCTGTGTTATGTTTAAATTGCTGAGGTTGCTCAGTACATTGTGTTCAGGTGTTATTTTTCCTATAGCTTTTGCTCAAACATTTGCTGCCTTGGCAACTAAGTGCTGTGGCAAAGCACTATCTCACCCTTTCAACTTCCCTACAACAATTCAACAGTAGCCTCAATACCCTGAAGCTCTTCAATGAAGGATCAGATGCAATTCTTACAAAGGCAATAGAGATTAAAAAATCCTCTCACTAGCTCAATTCTGTTTAATCTGTGTATTTGATCACCAAATGCCATACACCCATTTCATAAATTTTTCAGACTATGTATAACGGAAGGCTCTAGTCCACCTTATTTGGGGGGAAATAAATATTCAGTCATTAAGGTGATTACCTGATGTGGGCAATGGTGAGAGTTTGCCTCTGTTGCTTTGCCCACTCAAATGTGAGATGCTTTCTTTTGTAAAGAGAAACCACTGCATGAAGTTAAGGCTATTTTTAAATAGCTGTGACTAGGTGGGTTCAGGTAGCTTATTCCTAATACTCTGTGAAATACAAAACTGAAGGAGATAACTTTAAGAAACCTTACTCTGGAATGAAATACTGTATGTCCACGAAGTTCTTGTTTCCAGGGCTACTTGTAAAGAATTCAAATCAGAACACTTAATAATGGAACATGGAGTGGTTTTACAATAGCAGGCAATAGTAGTGTTTGTGAACAACATAGAACATAGATATAGCCAGAATAAGAAAACATCACTGAAATTTTAATAATAAAATCAACCTCTACAGGTATCAGAGATCTGTGCCTCCATAAAGTGCTTCAAATGCTGCTTACAATTTACAGTTTAGGGGGGATAAAAATCCTCACTTAATAGTACACAACTTTCAAGAGAGCCTAAAAGACTAGAAGTTAAGGATGATACATAGTTTGTGTGAAATGTCTGAGAACAATACATTTGGTAAGAAAATGTGCCACTGTTGGGGTGCCCAGGTGCCCAGTATTTGATTGGAGTGTCCAGCCAAAAAAGAGACCTGACAACTTCTAGTCAGGATACCCAATTCCGGTTATTACAGATGGAGGAGGTGGGAGGTGCTGAGTCATCACCCACACCAACCTCCTACTTAGCCAGGCCATTTCCTATCTGTTCCCTGCCCCGGCAAAGTAGGCGAGTCCCACCTGACCCAAGTGGGGTTGTTAGAGAGGGAAAGCAGCAAGCAACAGGGAATAAAAGGGAAGAGGAATGGACAGGGATAGGGCTTTAGGGGGAATAGACATGGCAGGGGCAGGACCTCAAGGGAAGAGGCAGGGCAGGGGAGGTTGCAGCACTTACTGTTGAAATGTCCAGTTTTTAAATATTACCAAGTTGGCAGCCCTAGCCAATGTTCTTGAACATTTTCATTTTACCAGTTTATAATTTTAAAGGATACTGTTGGCATTAATGAACCTGACATGAATGCTATGTAAGAACACACCATAGCTGAATGATTGAATTGTAGTTTTGGACAGCACAGAAAACCGACCCAGCCTGTCAGCGCATATGTTTGGTTTGTTGCTCTACACAGCTCTGGAAAAAAATCAATTTTTTTTAATATAACCCCCTTTTTCCTCCTCGGGTTACAGGTGTGCCTGGGTTCCTGATGGCTTTAACATAAAAAGGAGATCCTGAGTACCCCAGTGGTGATATTGTTTAGCTGGGGATTCCCTATCCACTCTGGGTACATCTAGACCACGTACCTCTGTCGGCAGAGGGATGCAAATGAGGCACTTTGAAAGTGCAAATGAAGCGGGTCTTTAAATATCCCGCGCTTCATTTGCATAATGGCGTCATGGTGCTCTTTCGAACAAGCGCCATTTCAAAAGTAAAACTGCAGTCTAGATGCAGTTCTTTCAAAAACGGCAGGCTTTTTCAAAAGATCCTGTACTCCAATCTTTCAAAAAAGCCTGCCATTTTTTAAAGAACCACTTCTAGACCGCGGTTTTACTTTCGAAATGGCGCTTCTTCGAAAGATCGTCATGACATGATTATGCAAATGAAGTGCAGGATATTTAAATCCCCGCTTCATTTGTACTTTCGAAGTGCTTCATTTAGATCCCTTTGCCAACAGAGGGATGTAGTCTAGAAGTACCCTCCTTTGCTGCAATCCCTGGCTCATAAAGAATATGCAGTGGTGGTGCCTCCACCTGACTGGCCCTGTACACACTTGATGGTGTGCCTTGGGAGCTTCCAGGAATAAAATTATTCCAGCAATAATTTGGGTCTAACTCTAGGACCATTATAAATTATAAATAATATACATCTAATTGATTACGTTAGAATGAATACACCTTTACTTAACAACTTAAAGAAACTGGGTTTAACAGATTAACAGTGAATAACATTAAGAAAATACACAGAAATAATAGGAACTTATCTATCTGGCATTTGCACTGCCACCATTTATCCCACCCCAGAGCGTGAACTCCTAGAATCCCAGATGCTTGCGTGGGTGCGCTTGAAGATCTGCAGCTGGAGTGGAGGTTCTCTGTAGGTTGTGTGTGTGTGTTAGTCCAAGCTGTGCAGCCAGCTGCAAACTCCCTCTGACACTGGAATAGGCTCCACCAAATGCCAGCAGCTCTGGTTCACTGGGCTGGACACTCTGCCTCTCTTTGGACTCAGAGTTAGTCTGTATCTCTGAGGTCTGTCCCAGGCCGCACTTTCCCAAAGAGCCCATTTACTTACAGCCTCCCCCAAGTGCTGTTTTTTAGGTAGTCCTCCTCAGCCACAGGTGCAGCCAGAGTCTCTCCCCTCTAGGGCAATCAGCAGCCTGCTAGATCCAAGCACCACAGGCTTTCAGTCCCAGACTGTAGCCACAACACAACAGTTCCTGACCTGGAAATAAGGCTCTTCCACAGCAGTCTGGCTCCCCTCTCCCAAAATGGAGAGCCCCAGACTGCTGAGACCCTCTCTCAACATGCCTGGACAAGTCCTCTCTTTCTGGTTTCCTCAAGGACTCATGGGAGTTGTAGTCTCTAGGGCTAGATTGCAGCACACAGGATCCTCCCAGAAAAAGTCAGAGGCACCTTTAGTAAGGGGACTACATTAAATCTGTGACATTTACAGTACCATGAAAACATCATGTTATGTCAGCATAATTCACATTGCTGTGTCCTTATGCCTACTATAGAATGAAAACTGCAGGATCTAATTCTGGGGATTGGTGTGTTTTTAGGGCTGGAGCTCAGTGAAATCAGTGGAAGGATTCATTGGTACTATTCATTTGATACATATGGAGAGACTCTTGTGACTCTGCTGCTGGTGGAGCCTTTGGCAGACATGAGCTGATGCTTGTTCCCCTTCCCTGCAGACCTTAGTGCAGGGTAGGCATGCTGAGGTGGCAGGGGGAGTTACTGGAGCACGCTGCTCTCTAACACTACATCTGCACTGATTCCTCTTCTGCAAGAGGAAATGCAAATGGAGTGCTCATTTGCACATGTTGCGCTCTCATTTGCATTTCCTTTTCCTTTCCCTTTTGCGCAAGAGGTTTTTCCACACAAAAACTCTGTGTAGATGGCTCCTTTTTGTGCAAAAAAACCCTTTTGCACAAGAGCCGTTCTTCCTCATCCCAGGGTAGATGGGCCAAATGTCAGAAAAGCCTCTTCCGAAAAAAGAATTGGAAAAAGATACTCAACTTGGGTAGCTCCCTTTATTGAGTGAAGGCATTTCATCTGTAGTGTTGAAGCTGCAGTCTCTTTGTTGCCCATGCTTCTGTTGTATAAAGCATTGTGAGGCATACCATTGTGCTATATAGTTGCACTTTCCAGTGTCAGTAGAGCATGCTTCTCATACACAGCACCTGAGATACTATTCCACTCCTCCAACACTCCCAAGTCTGGACTGTTTCTCATGCTCAAGGTCTCCATCTTCTCTAACCCAGCCACCAAGGTACTTGAAATGATCAATCAGATTTAAGCATACTCCATTAATCTCCATTAATCATACTCCATAAGGTGCCACAGGACTCCTCGCCGCTTTTCCATTAATCTCTATATCCAGTTTCCCCAATATATTAATGTAATTTAAAAGTTTAAAAAGTAAAGTTGAAATAAGGGTTTTCCATCTCCTCAAAACAAAATGTCTGATAATGTTTCATCAAATCAGCATTTTCTGTTCTGCTGGAGATTTTTCAACCAATTCTAAATGTTAAATAGCATTTCTTCTCAGTACAATTTTCATATTTGAACCACAATACAATGGAGCAGGAGAGCTGATTAATCATTCACTTGTACTGAAAGCCTTACCAGAGCTGTATTTTTTTCTATTCTGTGATAGAATTCAATTTTAATATTGGCATAACTTTAAGCCTGATCATGGCAATAAATGGAAATTCCCCTAGAAGAACTCTTGTAGATCTCAGCCCTACATTTTGTTGCAAATTCATTTTCTCTTCAAGTTTGTTACTTATTTACGTTAATCTACACCAGTATTAAGGGATACCAGATATAGACCCACTCGCCAGCCCCGCACTGCGCATGCGCCAGACCAGCACTGCGCATGCGCGAAGCACCAGTGAATGGGGCGCTCTGAGCGAATGGCTAAAATCTACTTGCCACAGGCGAGTAGATTCAGAGGTTTGTCGAGCCCTGGATATGATAATGCTAATACTCAGGGCTTGACAAAGCATGGTGAAATCTATTCACCAGCCCCGCACTGCGCATGCGCCAGACCCGCATTGCGTATGTGCGTGCCACCGGTGAACGGGGCGACCAACTGAAATCTACTCACCATGGGCGAGTAGATTCGCTGATTTGTTGAGCCCTGCTAATACTTATATGATATTGATATTTCTCAATTCATTGTTATTACAAAGGAAGGACACATAGACTCTTACATACAAATTATTTATGTTATATCTGTATAATGTCATTATTATTTATATACAATGTTTTTGGTTCATTGTAGTCAATAAAGTTACGTCCGCACTACAGGGTTTTTGCTCAAAAACCCATGGAGCATCCATACCTCAAGTGCATTTTTGCGCAAGAAAATGTACAGTAAAACAGCCGAACAGAGGGCTCTTTGCGGTATAGGTATACTTCTTTCTACGAGGAATAACTCCTTTTTGCACAACAGTTCTTGCACAAAAAGGTGTGTGTGGATGCTCAGCAGGGGGTTCCTGCTCAAAAAGAGCCTATCAGAAAAAGCACAGGTACTCTGATGGCCATTCTGTTAATGGCAATTAGAGCTTTCTTGCGCAAGAGTGTTCATGCAGTGTGGACTTTTCTGCAAAAAGGTCTCTTCTGCAAAAAGCTTCTTGCACAAAAACCTGCAGTATAGACATAGCCTAAGAGTATATTTGAAAATCTCATCCTAAATAGACAAGACACACAAAAGGTGGAGTATTACAGAATTTGAAACATATTTGTAAATAATTGAACATGTCTGAATATGAATTGGCTTCAGCATTTGCCCTAACAAACAGTAAAATGCTACTACCAATGCAAAATCTGAATTCAGTAGTCACAATTTAATTAATTGCGCAAAACAAAATTTTCTCACAATTCAGGATCTGGATTTATTTGCTTTGTTGCATAGTCTATCACTGTAGAGATAATTCTGGGAGCGTCACTTCTTTCCAACATTTGGAAGAACAAGTCCTTATGAAATATCAATATATAAATTACAGAATAACTTAGAAAGTCATGAGTCTATAACAGCTAAAGCTGCCTAGAAAAAAATGTTCCATGGAAAAATTTATAATTTTAATGAAAAATCATAAACTGAAAATTTTCAGTTGTAAATTTTTAAAAAGTCAGCCCACAATTTTTGGCTGAAAATTAAAACTTTCTGTTTGGAAATGCCACTTCCATGCCTCAAGTGAATTGTAGTTCAGGTGTGTCATGCCCTCATTCTGCTCTATAGGTCAAGCTCCCTGCTCAGACTGTATCTCCCATGTTTTACCACTGTGTCCCATCTTAACAAAACACTGTGATGCATCATGAGAAAATCTGGCTGGAGTAAGTCAAGAGATATGACAGGCTGGAGGACTCAGTATATAGAGAAGAAGAGGGAAATGACACATCCAAAATCCAATTCTTATGATGAATTGCCATGTGAGTTCTGAATCAACATTTTTAGTTTTTCAACTGTCATTTTTCTGGTTTTCAATCAAAAACTATTTTTTGTGTGTGTGTGTGTTACATTTTTGACAAACAGTTGAATTTTTCTTTAGAAACAGACACTTTTTGCGAGAAGTTTTTAGTCAATAACCTATTTTTTTAGTATGAAAACATCAGTTTTGATTGAAAATCATGAACTGGCCTTTTGGAAATCTTAGTTCACATTAGAAAATGGAAAAAATTGTTGATAGAGCTTGGGATGATCAAAAAATATAAATTAAGTCATATAAAAGACTAACCAGCAATAGATTGTGCTGTTCCAGACTGATAAATGTCCAGCCTACATAACCTCTGAACTTTCAGTTGGCTGTGGGTGAGCAAATCTTTGTCCCCACAAGGAGCCACACTGACTTCCATGGGACTCCACAACATGGCCCCTTGCCTTTGGAAAGTCCCATGGAAGTCAATGGAATTCTGCAGCGTGCATCTGCCTGGATCCTATTACAGGATCAGGACCATCATTTGCTTGCAGAATTTTGTTGAAAAGGTGCATGTTAAAGTCAAGGTTGTTAGTTCTTCATGATAAAAATAATTCATTACATGAAATAAATACAGCTATGGTCCTTTTTTCAAATATAAATGAAATTATGATCATCTTTCTGTACTGCGGGAAGTCATACAAGTGTAAATTTCAGTGATACAGCAACCTCCTATACAAGAGTCACATTTCTGATTTTTCTTGGATTGACTGAATAATCAATAGGTCTTCGTGGTGGTGGTCTTTTCCGCTGCACCTCATAAGGCACCTATGGATAATTAATAGATGATTACTTATTATATTATAACAGAATGAAATCCATCAAGTGTCCCACTCAAAACCCAAGCATCAAGTAAAACAGGATTAGGAAGAAAGAAAACACGTAAGTTTCACAAATGACAGCTGATTGTAAGTCAGACAATTATGGCATTTGTTAATGAGTCATTTGCAGTATGAAAGCTGCAAGTACACCCTCGCAGTCTGTACACCTTTCAGGAAAAGACTGTTAGAATGCCTCTTCTCTGATCTTTTTACTGACACTATTCAACCAGCTGAACGAAGGCTTCTGGTGTTGTTCTTTTAATACTACAACTAAAAATATTAAACATGTTGACTAAAGGAAAGTAATATTTTAGATGTAGGTGGCCTGACTTTGCAGTGTTGATTTAGGGTGAGATTTTCAAAAGGCTTTAGCCGCACTTTGCTCCCATGGTACGCAATGGGAATGTTACAATTAATCACAATGAGACCAGAGTTAGGTCTACATTGAGCACTTCTGAAAATCCTCCCCTAGAAGATTTGTGGTTAGTATAACAAACTTCTGTCCTTAATTATGAATGAATATCACATGAAAGAGAAAGAACTCAGGAGAATAAGACTCAGAATCCTTAACTACTACAACCCAAATACATATATATTTCAAATTATTAAACCTCAAAAAAAATCCAGAGGTTTAAGAAAATAGTTACTTTTTAAGGAGCTCTAAAGACAAGAAATTACCTGCAAAATTATAATTGTGCAACTTCACAAATGTAGTTTCACAACTGCGAACCACCTGGGAATTACAGCCAATGGTCCAGGCTCTCAGCCATGGCTGAGGAGCATACAGTGCAAATCAGGACAGGTGAGACAAAACAGTTGGCTTTGGGCTCCCCAAACTCTAGATTATCTCTGTGCCAGTATCATTTCCCAGTGGGACTAGCACCAATTAACTCATAAGAGGCCTGAGTGTAGGTCCACTGAAGTCAAAGGGAGTCTTTCCATTCACTTCAGTGTGGCTTTGGATCAGCTTTCCAAGATGAGAAAGATGGATTTCCGCTACTGAACAGTCTTCCTGTGATTTGCTTGAATCTAAAGTGCATAAAAACTGTATTCTCTTGATATTTTGTCTGTGTTTAACATCTTAAATAATGCATCAGGTACATATAAAATATTTAATAGGTGATAGATGGAAATGTTAGATAACAAATGTGGACAATATTGCTCTAATATACAGCTTTAGATTTAATGGCTCCAAGCACCTCCAAGAAAACCACAGGATAAATATAACTATTCTAGGAACATAACATAAGACAACTGCCTTCTGTTTCAAATATGAGTCTGTTTCTTCTTTCTTCTGCACCACTGAAACATATGTTATTTGCCAAATTTACGCAAGCTTATTAACTATTTATTTCAATAGAGAGGGAATAGTGCTTTTAGAAGTGCTGAGGTGGCTTAAGAGACCCTTTCAGGCTTGAAAGACCCTTAGTTGCTTACAATTTAGCAATAAACAGCCTGAGGACTTTGCCTATTTCCCTCAGCAGAGTCACTTGTAATTTCCAGAACACCGAGGATCTTTCCTTTGATCTGTGGTGCCTATGAGAAGAATTAGCTGATAGCAATTTTTCCGTTTATGGCCAAACAATAGTGGGCATTTCTTGATGCTTCAGGCCTGTGTCTAGACTGGCAAGTTTTTCCGCAAAATCATCTGATTTTGCAGAAAAACTTGCCAGCTGTCTACACTGGCTGCTTGAATTTCCGCAAGAACACTGACGATCTCATGTAAGATTATCAGTGTTCTTGCGGAAATACTGTGCTGCTCCCGTTCGGGCAAAAGCCCTCTTGCGCAAATCATTTGCGCAGGAGGGCCAGTGTAAACAGTACAGTACTGTTTTGTGCAAAAAAGCCCTGATGTCTACAATGGCAATCAGGGCTTTTTTGTGCAAAACCACATCTAGATTGGCCACCGACAGTTTTCCGCAAAAGTGCTTTTGCGGAAAAGCGTCCTGCCAATCTAGACGCAATTTTCCAAAAATGCTTTTAACGGAAAAGTTTTCCGTTAAAAGCATTTCCGGAAAATCATGCCAGTGTAGATGTAGCCCAGTTGTAGTTGGTTGTTATGTCAGACAATCTGAGACAAGTCACATATAAATACAGGATCATTGCCGGCAGAAAAATTTACAGATTTACAAAAGAAATTATGCTGATATCAGCTGAAAAAAAATCAGAAAATATATGTGATGCTTGCAGAAAACAGTCACTTGCTTGTCAGATACTCTGGTCTGCACATCTATATCAATTAGATTTAAAAGATGAAGCTAATGGTGGGGACATTGAGTTTGTTACATAACAACACCTAATAGAGACACAACAGAAATGCCTATATCAGAAGTGGCTCTGAACTTTTTTTATTAAATCTCATGTTCAACAAAGTGCAGACCCATGACATTTCCATAGATTTGTTGCACCAAAATATTTCACCATCTTTGACTCTATTAAAAAAGGATTTGACAGATGTTGCACCAAACACTACTGCATATGGGGTTTGGGACCATTGAGATACAATGCCATAATAAGGTCAATTTTTGATTGTTGCTGTTATTTTCATAACAGTGAACTGAAAGGGGCAGTCTTGTGTAAAGTTATAGACAGATTAGCATGGCACTATTGCTTGTAGATGAGTATTCTACTGCCTTGGGAATCCCATCCAAAGGCATGGACAACTGCAGCAATTGCAAACCCTCTCTCCATGCAGGAAGGGGTGAGGCACTCCCAATGAAGGCACTATAGCAAGGGTGGAGAAAGACACTCCCCACATTTCCCTCATACGCACACCAGAGCCTAGGGGGACCCAGGCTAGTAGAAATTGTGTGCTCTAGTCCCATGAGGAATGTCGGGAGCTGGAGCACCAATGCAGGCTCCCCAGTGGTGCAGGGAGCCCTGAGCCTCAGGGGCCAGATCCAAGCAAGCTGGGGGCCAGATGTGGCCCCTGTGCCTTAGGTTCCCCACCCCTGCTCTATAGAAAGGGATTATGCCCCCTAATGCATAATGGACCTGCTTCACTATTGCCATGTATCTTTTGTATTCATTTACACCAGGTCCAAGTAAATGAAAAATGCATCACCTGCCTCTGGTAAAGTTTGACACTCACACTGCACTGGTGTAAATGCCTTCACAGGTGCAGTGAATTAGGCCCAGTGGCTGCAAAATCCCCCTGCAGACATGCAGCTCTGCTCAGACTCTAGCTAATTGGTAGTATGTAGCCCTGGGCAATTTAGCCTTTGCGCATGAAGATTTAAAAGATCAGGTGCATAATATGATTTCATACATGAAACTCAAATACTTAGGAGCAAGAAAGTCACTTCTTGGTTTAAAGCATAATTTGCCCTGAGCTTGGTTTTAATTCAAAGTTTTTCCTTTGTTGAAACAATTCAGCACCTACGTGTTTCTAGTCATTACAGGATCATTTTCACACATCATGGAGAGTGATGGTTTCACTGTCACTTATGTCTGACATGCTGGAGGGAGAAGAAGCAACCGTGAAGCGTGATTTGTTTATTGAAGTATTTGCTGCTGTACTGTTGATTTTTTTAAATGGTCACAAGGATCCCCTCTGCCAATTATGAAGCAAAATGGAAATATTCCTTCCTCATAGCTTTACGTCTCTCTACCATCATAGCATGAAATTCTTCATCCATTGACAGTGGTCAGTCAAAGCTCAAAACTCCGCATGTTGTTTATCGACTGCCCTCACGGTTACTGAAAACATAAAGCTTTTCCTATCACGGTGGCTTGGTTGAAAGGGACTGGATACCTAATCAATCTTTCTATCCATTATAGATCTTCAGCTACACAAAGGGTTTGTCTACACTACACCCAGAGCTTGAAATAGGCTATGCAATTTGAGCTACGCAAATTACGTAGTTTATTTAAAGTCAATTTCAAAATATCTTATTTTGTAATTTGGTGCTGTGTACATGGTGCCAAATTTCAAAAATAGCCTGTTATACCAAAAGATCCCTTACTCCTCATGGAATGAGGTTTACAGGGACGTCAGAATAGTGAGCCTGTTATATTTTGAAAAAAAACGGGCTTGCTGTTAAAATGCAGAATAACTTAAGATGCAGACTTAGCCAACAGGAAGTAGTAGTTCATGGACGAAGTGAAGGATAAAACTGGTGTATGCTGCATCTCATTTCAGGGGTGAATTCTTTAACTGTATTTCTTTAATCCCTGAAAGAAAGATTTCAGCTAGTAAAAGCACAGTGCAGTCACTTTTAATTCCTATATGGAATCAATTAGATGAATGAGGTGAGCACATCTGCTAGTATGAAACAGAGGTCTGAACTTCAAATTGATTTGACTGATGGCAGCTCCTCAGACCCTGATGCTGTGGAAATGTAAGATGAGATGAAGGCCCTGCCTATTGTTATCCAGCCAAAACTCCACCTCCCAAAGGCGTCTGTTTGCTCTACGCGGTTTGCTTACAGGGCTAGCAACTGGAGCTGCTAGGGAGCACATGACTTAAAGGTTCAGTCCTTACTCAAGCAGAGCTCTGCCTGCAATCAGTGGGTGTTTCCCCTGCAGGTTCAGGCCATTGTTACAGTGCAGCTTGCAGCAAAAGGAGTCTGTGTGTTTGTAAGGGTGGCATGCCATTACAAGGCCTAACCATGGCATTGCCTTCCCAAAATTGCCTACACTGCCCAGCCACCCAGGAGAGGATGGGGCCTCACCATGCAGCAGCCCGGTTTCCCAGTAGCTAGGGAATTCTGGGGCTGTGTCATGCGGCTACCCAGTGGCCAGGGAAGGCTGGTGCCATGCCACATAGCAGCCCATCTCCCTGGCAGCCAGGGAAGGCTGTCCCAACCCCCAACTGGGGTTGGCGGGGCTTGTCTGGGGGATGGGGAAAGGTTGTGAAGGGGCATCGTCTCAGGGAATGGGTGTGACTTTGGGCAGAGGGGGTGGGGCTTCTCCTGCCTTTCCCCGCTGGGCCTTCATCGGCTGCCC